TTATCCAAAAGAAGACGTTGGATCCATTAATGTATGCAGCTCCTTGTCGGAAGAGACTAACTTTACTCCCCTCAGTAATTAACTTTTCTACAGCGATCTCGTTTGTACTTTTGGAAAAGAAGAAATAAAGAAAGAACGAAAAAACCCATGCTTTAAACTCTTGGAATGACAAGTCACTACTATTTAAAAAAAAAAGTGATTTAACCAAGAAGTTTGACAAAAGATGTTTAATTTTTAAGGGGTGTTTGGATAGAAACCAAACCATGGTTTCAGAACTACTTTTACGGTTTATGAAATAAATATATGGAAGAGTTTGTCTCGTTTTACGGAAAAGTACTTCTGAAATCATGGTTTTCATATTGTCAAACACCCCTTTAGTCGGCAGATCTAATATTGTGCCTGTTTGGCATCACTTATAAGCAGCTTATTTTCACTATAAGCCCGATTGAAAAATTTTGAGTGTTTGGTTGGGCTTTTCTGCAATCGGGCTTCTGTATAAAAAGCTGCAATAAGCTATAAGCTAAAATTAACAGCTTATAGCTTATGGCTTTTGAAATATGGAGAGAGAAAAAGTTAAGAAATTTATTACCTCATTTGGTTCTTATTATAAACCTCAAATAACTAATTTGTAGATAATAAAAAATCAGTTAAAATTAGTTGAAAGTATTAAATAAGTTAGAAGTATACTTTTATTTTTAAATATGCTCCTAAAAATATACTTTTATTTTTTCACGTTTCACTTTATATGTAAAATATTTTTTATGACTTCTTCATATTAAATTATTTTAATTTCATTATATTATATGAAATCAGTTTTTAATCATGTTTTGTTATTTATTAAAACTCATATCTATTTTGGTTATTTTACAACCAAACTTACTTTTACTCAATCATAATCCAAACAACCTTTTACCAATCTCACTTTTACAAGCTAACTTTTCTGAACTCCAATCCAAACACAATTCAGCTTATCCAATTTAACTTTTACCCAATTTTACTTTTTCATAAGCTAATTTTTCAATAAACTGTTTTTTCAATCGCTGATCCAAACGGACCTATTAACCTTAAAAAAAGAGCGACAGATGGGCATTGCAGCTGCGGAGCGACGGTTCGGGCCATCGGGCCTAGGTGCAGAGATGTGAGAATTATTATTACATGATATATCCAAAAAATGAGGCAACCAACGCGGCAGGCCCGTCTAGCTCAGTCGGTAGAGCGCAAGGCTCTTAACCTTGTGGTCGTGGGTTCGAGCCCCACGGTGGGCGATTATTATTTTCCGGATTTATGGTTTTAATTTTAGAGGTAATCAAATCGGAAGCAATTCTCCTAAGCCAGTTAGATCCGGAGGCCTCGTTGCACAGAGGATCAGCCCATCGCGCAAGTTGGGCCTCATTTATCTGGTAATTTAATTGGGCCCCACTTTTGGTCTTCAAATGTGAGATAAAAAAAAAAAGCTAAATATATTGATGAGCCCGTCGCAATCAATTTTTTTTGGGCGAAAAGAAGAAATGTGTATTGCCCAAAATTCATGAATCCTACTAATTATAGCAGAGTTTATCTGCATCTTGCTTTCCAAATGTAGCAACATAAGTAAGCAATTAATTGAGTATCTGGATCAGCTTATTTTTAAGCGATTTTGTATTACGAAATATGTTGAGAGTTTTATCTAATAAGACGTAACAACATTTTTTTTTTTTTGGTCGCTTCCAAAACCCGATCACATAATATATTTAGGGAAAGCGCTGGACCACAATATAATGCCTATTCCAAAAGGTTTCTTTGGTTGGGATACGGCTTTAGAGAAAATCTTCCATGGAAAGTGTTGAACGAGACAACAAATTCGAGGTATTGACTCCTTTTTTAAGTTACAGCACGGTCAATTCTTTTTCTTTTTTTTCTTTTAACCTCAGGTATTCACTGCATGTGATAGTAATAACTAATCCCTTATCACTATAGACCTCTCAAAGAGGGTTTAGTGTTTGCCATTAAATCCTCTCCCAATTGAACCACTAATTAGATATTTAATAAATATGATCAATCTTTAATGACCTTATATATCTCTGAATTTTCAATACATGTTAAGAAAAAAATGTGTGTTGGATTCCATTATACTAACTTCGGTTCATAATATAAAAATTAGTTTGATATTTAATTTAGTTCTAAATATAAGATCTTAATCCACTTTAATTCTCATATTTATCTATTTTTTCTTAAAATAGTCTTTATAGTAGTTGTAAATATTAAATATTTCATCAAATAATAGTGCTAACTAATATGTATCATCAGAAAATATATTCTAATGAAAATAATACATATTTATTAAAAATAATTAATTTAACAAACTTTCTCAATTTATTCAAATTACCTAAGTGACTTTTATGTTAAAGACCAGAGGCAGTTAATATTAATTACGAGGTATGTTTGATTGATCTCTCTCTTTAATTATAGGGTTCGCATGTTTATTCACACGAGTATTTTATCAACATTTGTAACTCATTCATGTCTTACTATAAAATGTTTGATGTGAATTGACTTTATTCATCATTCTACAAATCTCGAGTTTCTTTCTTTCTTTTTTTCAGTGTTTGTTTGAAATGATAATAAGATATTTTTTTAAAAAAAAAAAATTTCAATCGTAATATACAGAATATAAAAAAATATTTAAAAATAATTTTATCTCCATTTATATAAATATACTTATAAGCAGTAATATTATCATTTACTCAAAGAAGTTGTAAGTAAGAATTTTGGGGATGCAGGTAAAGTGATTTTTTTTATGTACCAAACATGGGTGCAAAAAAAATAGTGATGTCATAAATATTTTTTCAGTGCAGTGATATATTGATATTTACTTTTAATAGGAATTATATTCTCTTTTAACGCCTAATAACAAATAACGAAAATTGCCCCGTGGCTACATAAAATTACAACGTTTTGAATATTCATCTAGTACCCTTCTTATAGAGTCGGGAAAACAGGCCTACTCCATCAGGTTGGCCCGTTTAAATCCAACAATTGTGAGGGTTGAGTTTATAATTTTTTTATTTAAATGGGAAACGGGCTTAAAAGGGGATCGAGAGCTGACCCATTTAGGCCCATTTATAATGTTTTTAATTTTTTATAATTTTTTGTGTAATTTTAATATTATTATTATTTTTACATTGTAAATGATATTTTGAATATTTAGTTATTTTTATCATTTTGAAATTAAATTTCACATAATGGTTTGATTTATTTGATTTTAGACAATAATTTATCTAATTAAATTTTAAAAGTTAGATTAATTTGGACTTTAATAATGATTTGATTTATATTATATGTGTTGATATTTTTAAACTATATATATATTTGATAAGAAATTATTTTTATACTTATATAACTTGTGATTTTATAATTTGAATTAAAAATTTGTGAGTTTCAACAATGATCCTTCTAAAACTAAAGTAAAATAATAACTAGATTGCAAAATTTAAAAGTGAAATTCCTATAAAGAACAAAAACTTGATATTTTTGCTACGAATGAAGAGCAATTGATTATAGTGATGATGAAGTTTCAAAAAATTAATGATAGTGTTTGTCTATTGTATATTTGCACTATTAATGAAACTTTTAGATGCTGTTATTTTGTTGATAGATGTTTTAAATGTTGATGGATATTTAAATATGATGATATTTTATATTTGTGACTTAACTTTATTTATAGTTATAGTTTTTATTAATAATTTTATTAGTTTGTTTTTATTTTTTGATTAAAAAAACGTGAGAAATGTGAAAAATAACATTTTTGTAAATGGGCCGAAAACCCACAGACTGACCCTGAACCGATCAACTTAAGAACCAAGTCTAACAAAATAAGATATTTTTAAAATTTCAATCCTATCAGACCTTTTACACTGTTGGCCGTATTCCCACCTCAACCTTCTTATGCCTCCTCCTTTTTGGTCACTTTGTAACATCGCAACGTGGTCCAATCAAACAGGATGGTGGTGGGATGCTTCAATAATCTTGTTCTTCTTTTCTTTATTTTTTTAATACCATTTTCGGGAGGCAGTAATTAAACCCCCAACTTAGATAGTAACATAATTTTAATGAATAAACACTAGTTGAATTATATATAACCGGAATCTATCTTCTCTAATCCTTTACAGCAGCAGCACTGGTGATGCTGTAGAGCAGCAGATATGATAAAAATTAATACATTTATGATCTTAAATATAAAATTTATTTTACAGTATAATTCATACTACAAAATGAATCTTAAACTTAGAATCAATTAACTTTTATTTTTAAGGTATCACAAAAATAAAAAATAAATACAACATTATAATTTTTTTAAAAATGTATTTAAATATTAAAAAATTTGAAATGATGTATAAAACTTCCATTCAAATGTAATCTGTTATGTGCAAATTTATAGCACCAGTTTTTCTCTTCGCACAATTTATTTTTTAAAAATCTTTATAATAATATTAACATATACAACCAAAAAAAAAATTTTAAGTGATATGCATTTTTATGGAAAATAAAAGTAACTAAATCAACTTTTTGATATTCACAAGTTAACCAATTAAATAGATATTTGAGAGTTATCAACAATTTTTAAATCAAAACCACGAGTTGACATGCCTACTAGCTAAATACCCATCCAAATCCAAAAATCGATTTTTTAAGTCTAGGACCATAATCTGGAACAAAGCCCATTAATACAGCCTTTTCATAGCGATTAATTCCCCCAAAATCTATTCTGTGAGAGCCAAATACACACTAATATATATTTGGATGGAAGGAAAAGTGGGCAAATTAAAGAAAGTGAATACTAGCAGAAAAAACTTCAAAAACAGTAAAGGTTAGTCCTATATTTTGGATGAGATGAAGTAAAAAACAGGGCATAGGGTTAAACTCATCTGCAACCCGGATATCATGAGTTCTAAATATGTTCATCTACGATATACACGCACGTCCATGAACAACCATTTTGATGCTCTGTGCTTAGGATGTCCCGGACTGCTAAAGCCAACCTATCGGTAAGACCACCTCAAATCCTCATCATCCTCATCATCCACACCATCAATATCGTGGTCGCCTGCATCATAATCATCATCAAAGTCCTCATCATTAAATGGATCAACATCAACATCCTCGGAGAAAACGTGACGAAAATCCTCCTCTGATGATTCATCACTAGCATTCTTGCTTTCACGTTCATCTGAATCATTATCGGAGGCTTCATTTTCTTCATCTTCCTCTTCCTCTTCAGATATCTCGTCCGGATAATCATTCAATGGATTGTTTTCAGCTATAAATCACCAAATATGAACACACGGTCAACTATGTGGGGTTTAGTCATAGTAAGATAGAATAGCTGGAGCGTAAGTACCATTTGAGTCATCACTTTCATAATCTGACTCTTCAGGCCCATCATAATAATCATCTTCATCAACTTGAACTCTGATTCAAATATACACAATGGTGTCAAGTAAGAACGAATATATAATGCAATTGATCGAACATTTTCAAACAGGAAATACTCACAGAGGATAGGAATATGAAGTATCTTCAACCGTTGTATCCATCTCCCCGTTCACAGTGTAAATATCATAAACGTAATCATCTGTAGTCACAACCCAATCAAAACAATTGGTATGAAAGAAGTCAGCAACATTAATAATCAACTGTTCAAAACATTAATGGGGCGTGTCAATGTGGATGAAATGGTATTGATCTAATGGATGGTACCGTTTGCCTAAGTAGAGAAATCGCCACTTATTCCATCTATTTACTCTTCTAGTCCTAAATATAAGACCCTTATACACACTAGTATAAGTCTTATATTTAGGATCGGAGGAGTAGTATTTTACATACCAGCGCAACTTTAATTAAAGAAAGGTTGGTAACAATTTTATAATAGTTAGCCACCAATAACAACCTTGTTCACAATGAGCTCGCATATCAGATTCAATCTCCGCAGCAGCATTAGGAATAAACTCATTTAGTAAAGGGAGGTAACTACACAGAAGTCTTTGATCCTCCAAGGACATATGTCTGCAAAATCACAGGAAAAATTGTTTCGTATGATAATTGTCCAGACAGAAGAAAACAATTTGATTCTATGATGGAAATACTTACTCTTGCTGTGCCTTGTTATTTTTCTCTTCATCAACACGAACAACATCATAGAAGTAGCATATTTCTTGTAATGCTTTGGCATGCACAGATTCCTTGTTTCCCCTCCTGCTCTTCCATATTTGTTCAAATCGGGCATTTTTTGCAGCAGACTAGAGGAAAAACAAAAGCAACATCTCAAGTTTGCAAAAGGTAACAACCGCAAAAAAAAAAAAAGCATTTCATCCCATGCACATATATGATCCAAAGACCAATATCATACTATTTTTTCTGAAATCCAAACCTCCGTGCTCGTAATAATCTATTGCCTATCAAAGTATAGTTGCCTATTATATTGGCTTCCACGATTTAAGAACATAATGTTAAACAGACTAGAAACTACATTCAGCTTCAGACCCTGAGACAGCTTACAAGATGCAATGTAACATCACACCTGGTTCAATTGTCTTTCATGCTCCACCGTGGGAAAAGAGAGAAATAAAGAGAAGAGGGAGGGATGGAGAAAAAGGAGTGCGGGGAAAGAAGGTGGAATTTGAAACGGATAGAAGGGCTTGAGGAAATGACTTGTGATGATATCATCAGTTCATCATTACTTATAAATTGATGTTTTTTCCGTAGTTTTATTTTTATACATCACTTCAACACAGATATAAAAATAAATAATTGTGAGTGAAATACACAGACAAATCGGATTTAAGTCGGTTTACCTAGATGTCCCTCCGCATTTCAAAAACAAATTAGTTACCAGCTGTTCAATGTATTATAATCAAATCAAACTACACCTAACAACAGAAAAGGCATATTCCACGAGAGTACGCACATTTTCAGGAAGAAATGATGCTCACATTACAAATTCACGAGCACACATACCACGGAAAAGAGAAAACATCAAGATGCTAATATACAACGATCAATAAGCAACCAAAGCAGTCAAAAACAGGTCTCAGCAAACACCCTAGCCTTGTAACATATCATATTTAAGGAGTTTTGAACTATATTCAACTTAAAATGCAGGTTAATGATATAATATCAAGAATATAAAGTTAACAGGGAGCTGAGGTTTGGCCTCTCTTATCATCTTGGACAACAGATTTTCTTTTATAGCTCTAAATATATGCCTTTCAGGAATCACACACACACAAACACATATATTGAACTTGCCTTAACATAGATCAGTGACAATCAGGCTCTAACTGGAAGTAAAAGGACTGGAGACAATTTAGTTAAATGTAACTTGCACCAAGAGGTGAACCAACATAAGAGGAGTTGATAGAGCCCGGACAGAAATAATGGAGAGACAACACTGAAATTTGATTAACTCACAATAATCTTCCTCCAAGAAGAGAAGGAAGTTACAACAATAAGAAAAACAAACTAAACTAGAAAGATAAATGATGAAGAAAGACTATCTTCCTCCACCCCACACTGGCATTTGAGAGGCCAGTGCTCTCCTCACTACTCTCAGATTACAAAATAAGTCCTCCTCCCTCAGGATACACCTACTACTAATATAAGCCGAAAAAGTAAGTCACACAATCCCCAAAACACCCCTTTCTAGGTCAGGACTATAGCCACCCTAAAGTAACTCCAATGCTTAGTTTCTTTCTCCAAAACAGAAGGAAGCTTGAGGTCAACACGCTGGACAGCATAAAGTATTTTTCCTTTTTCATGTATCTTGCTAATTTTCCTTTTATAATTCTGGGCAGTAAAAGCAATTCTATCAGGAGTTTACCAGTAAAACAACAGCAAACAAAAAGAACCAGAAAAAGGGAACTTTTTCATACCAGATTGAAAAAAAAAGCAAAACATGCCTACAGAAGAGATTTCAATATACTGTCATGGGAAGATGTATATAATTTTTAAACTATATACATACATAAGAATGAGTAATTTAGGCCATGTGACAAACCTCATGCTTTTCTTTAGCTTTAAGCAACAGCTGGTCTTGTTTCTGCAGACAATAAATTAGAAACGAGAAATCATGAAAACCATACAGAAGCACTGAGAAGCATGGTCTGCAAAGGCTGATTCTTTGGAGAGAGTAGGGTCTATTGTCTCTATTCAAGAAAATGCAATTTTATGTGAGATTGTACATGAGGGATGGAGGGAAAGAAGATAGTTCTTACATGGTCCTTCTTCAATAAATCTTTCCGTTCCACAACTTTTGATTTGCATTCAGATGCACCACTAGAACCAGGGTCCTAGAGAAACACTTACTCGATAAGACACTTTGATAACAAGTTCACTGCAACATGATGTGATAATGATATTCTATAAAGTAACACATCATGATACAATATCAAAGAGAAGAATGGTAAGCACCAGCTAGGCAGCCATACTGACCACGAAAGACTGCACAACATTAAAGGTAACCTCAGGGATGCTTATTGTCTCCACATGTTGAACAAAAACCTTCTTGGCATTCAATTCCTCTGCTACCAACGAAAAGCATGATATCAGGAGTCAGGCACTCATACGGACAAATCCAACTCTAATGACATAACATTCCAGCACTCTCTTCTTTCCATCTCTTTCATATGTAGCTAAAATGTTTATTTATTTCCAAAACTGAATAAGAAAAAAACTTTGAGGGGGGGGGGGGAGTGCTTAAAGAATGTGGAATGGAACCCAAACTAGAAAATTAATGGCTCATTGACAAAGCAAATTAACTGTATAAAAAAAAAATCTCCATTGAAAGAATCTCAAAAACAAACACAACGATCTTCGTTTCCAAGAGAAATTCCTTTCACTCAAGGATGTGGAAAGAAAGACATGGCACGGATCTCCCAATAATTTCAAAGATGCAAGCCAGTAACTTGAACCTAAGACCAGCGAAGGGCCAAGGTGCCAAGTACAGGTATATTTTCTATCCAATTAATTTACAAACCATTAATATCAATTTTATGGTCTGGGCTTAATTATAATTTTGCTTAAATTGCAATACATTTTTTCTTTGCTCAATCCTAGGTCAGTTTTGCCAATGCATGGTGATTGGTTCTGAGCTGGGGATTAAAGGATTTACCAAAAGATCAAGAATTCGTTATTTCAATGTGGTTTCATAGAGTGGAAGAATATATTGTCACAACCATCAGAGTAAGACAAAAATATGTAATCTACAAAATCATAGCAAACCCTGATTGGTCTGAGATGAGTAGCATACCTTTCTGAGTGACGTTATCCGAGATAGACAGATTCGCAAAATCCACCAGAGGGCGCTTTAATGGCCTCTCATTGATTTCCAGCCCTACATTGTCACCCCAAAACCAAATTCCATTATCACTGCTAGTACTAGTAAGGTAGAATCGTGCTGCCACGTTTGTGTAAAGCCCAGACGGGCAATATTTGGACAAGGAATTCTAGTATCTTTACTCCACATTTTTTTTGGTTTTAAAAGACCATCCATAATTAGACAAACGCGGTAGTAGAAATTAAAAAGAAAGAGTTGCTTACAGAAAGCGTCAATTGGTGAGTGAAAGGATTTTCTTTTAACCCTAACCACCACTGGCTTGGATGTCGCCACAGCCGAAGAGCTTTCGCCCACAGCAGCCATGGAATGGAACTTTCTGGAGTACAGCAACGCTAGGGCAAATGGATCTGCGCTAGCTTTAGAAACGAACCAAAATCATTTTTGGCGTGAAAAACACGAAAAACAATCATCAATTCATCACTCCACATTTGGACGTGCATGGACGAGAGTGGCTGGGTTTGCTATTAATCCGAAGTATGGTCCGGTGAAAACCTTGGCTGAAAAGGAAAGCCCTTGGTCCGTTTCAATCCAGCCGCTGAACGACTTCGATTTAATTTTTTTTTAATTGGAAATAAGATTTCAACTTTCTATATAAAATTTGAATATGTTTTGATATAAATTTCATCAAATTTGATCATTCCCATTCAATTTCTCAATAAGGGCATGTTTCATTTATTAATCCTCATTAATATATAGGTTTTATATTGAAGAAAATACATACATATATTCATCAGTTAGGAAGTTAATAGATAAAGCTTAATTATCTAAGTTGACACAAAAAAAACCTCTAAGAAATAATTTTAAAAAAATTAAAATTATATAAATAATATTTATGATTTAAAAAAAAAAAGCTAAACTGGATTGGACTAACGGTTTGAAGAGTCAATTCTTAGTCCAGTTCAACCTGATAGGACCCATCCGGTCCAGTCTGCCTTAATCTTGTCTCAGATCAATTTTGTTTTTTTACTAGACTCAACCAGACCACGTTTGTTCAGGTTGAACAGATCACACTGAACCATTAGATTTTTGTACAGCTCTAATCATTCAGTGTGTTTCTTGCAGGAACCACGGCCATCTTTTTCGTACGGAGTGTTTGAATTTGAACCTTATTTACTCTAATGGCCCAAAAAAAGGCCCAAAAATTTTTATGACTAATGATAAGGGGCAACCAACCGCTGTTAGCTTTACTGAAAAGATCAGTTTTTTGGCATGTGGTAAATTAAAATGTAAATTTTTGCTAGGAAAAATATTCATATTTAATATCCGTCTCCAAAATTAAATGTGATGGAAACATTAACTGATAACAACTGTCTGTAATCTCTTATCCATTCAAATGTCACTTTTGAATGTTGAAGATCTCTTTGTATTGATAAAATTATTTTCTAACTTTCATTTATATATTTTAGATAATATTTTTTTCTTTCAAACTCCGATGCCCCTTTTTATAAAATCGGGTTTTCCATGGTGTGTCTTTTTCTTTTTATTTATTTATGATTTTTATGCCAAAAAAAACAAAGAATAGGATGGAAGTATGACGATCTTTTTATTTCCACAAAAAAGAAAAATCTGCTGCAGATATAGTTCTTTTTTTGGCCGAATGCTGCAGACATAGATGATTCTCATTTTTCCGAACATAAATTTTCATTCCCTGCATTAGAAAAAATCACAGAATTTAATTTCATTTTTAAATAACAAATAAAAAATCATATAAGAGATTTAAAAAAATTAATTAAGTTAATTATTTATTAAAAAATACGTTGGTTTCATAAAATATTCCCTGTAATCATTCTAATTCTTTAATCATACAGTTCATTAAATAAAGCTAACTCTCATATGTCCAGTAATTTTTTATTTGTTTTATAAGTTTTAGAAAAATAATTAATTACCCTCAACATTTTATATAATAATTTATAAAATGATTAAAAAAAACCTCTGAGAAAAAACCTTATAATAGCCCTCCAATACCTCTTTGATAAATGATAATCCTGCATTATAATTTCAATATCATAAAATACTTTCATTACTAGTTCCTTGTTAGATTTGTCTTTGTCCCTCAACATTCTATATGAGATACGTCCTTGTCCTTGGGACAATACTACTTCAGATTGAAACAAACCAACAAACGTCCGGCCTCATTATTATAAGGGTAAGACAACAGAAGATATCAAATTTCCGGGGTAAAAAAGTTGACCTTCCAATTCCATGAATCGCCCGTGAAGCTCACCACTGTGCCTACATCATGCCACTCAACAAGTGACACTACTACGCACAGATTTTGTCCCTCTAAAAACAAATCACTTGTCCCCATCAAGCACATGCCAATGCTGGTCCCACCAGATTTGAAAACAAATAAATCAACCGATCTTGTAACAAGCACCTCCCTAAGTAATACCTAAATAGTGCATTCTTATTCAGCAGATTCTTTTATATATATATATATATATATATATATATATTTTACTAAACCTTATAATAAGCAGACTACTCAAGAATATCTGCACCATAACACTAAAAATACAATTCCAAGTCGCCTGAGATATAAAATATCAAGCACTCAAAACAGGGATTAAAACTGTGCATAATGTCAGGGATGACATTAATCATGCTCTGATCTGAGTTAGATGAATGGTACAGAAAGTTGCATGAGTAGAAGCAAACAGAGAAACAAGAAGCAAAGAAAGATGGGGGCATGAAGGTTGTTTGAAGAAGAATCAGAGAATTCAGAGGAATCCACAGCTAGAGGCATTCCATCACTGTTTAGAGTGCAGGATTTTGGATCAGAGCCATCTGAGCTCAACATAAAAGCACGTAGAACCCCAGAGACTGTATGGATAAAAGCTGATCGGTTCTTCGCCAGAAGCCATGTCAGGCCCATAAGCTGACAATCTTTGTTGTGGATCTTGGTGGTCCTGTCTTGTGATTTGCTTGAATTCGAAGTCTTCTTGTTAAGCTGCATAGAAGTAACTTTTTAATTAAGGAATCACAGTGGGATAAGGGAACTTAATTTGGTACATCGAAGGTTGTTAAATAGCATCTTGGTTGGTGTAACATCCACTCATACAAAAATGGTCAATGCCGGACATCATGGAATAGCACTATTTAAAGAATATGCATAGAACAGGGGAATTTCAACCAACATGCATTATTAGTTTGTGTTGTAGTGAAGCAAAATACCACAGCAAATGAAATGCCTTAATTAAAAGCCAACTATCCTTCGTAATTATTCAAGGATTTGAAATCATTGCATGTGTTTTTATGTACAAATTGATGCTGTGGAGCCACGTAATTTATATGGAGTCTAAGCCATAGTTTTCATGGTTCATGAATAGTACGGTTTCATACATACTGATCTACACACACATATTTTGATGATTAGGCAAAAAGGACAAAACTTTTTAAAATTAGAATTCAGAAACATTAAAAACAAAACCAAGAGAATCCACAGATGCAGTTGTCATCTAATGCTCATGAATCTGTGCTGAATGGGAAATATAAATCTGACTAAAGTCAGGAAATAAGGTGAATATTTCAGAGGGATCAGATAGATAATCGGATCTCATTTGCAGCCATTTGTAAGTTACTATGCGGCAGAAAGAAAGAAAATTCATGGACTAAAATTAAACTTTTGTCTGCTGCTCTACTGGCCATCATGTCTAGCTGGGAAGGCTAGGAAACGAGAACACCGGAATGGAGAAATTGAAGTCACGGGTCTTAGAGGGGGAGAAATGATTTACACCCTCTATGGCATTTAAGGAGTGTGCTCGTTCTTTATAACAAAAACTTGGCTCATTTTATATGTCAAAATATACTTAGATATTTGGCTAGTTATTTGGAATAAATGTTTGATTTTCTCACGGGTCTTAGAGGGTGAGAATTGATTAGAACGTTTATGGCATTTAAGAAGTAAGCTTCTTCTTCGTGATAAGAACTTTGGCTCATTTTACACTTCAAAATATACCAAGTCATCTAGCTAGTTAAGCACCATATCCCAATTATTCTGAAAAGGTAAAAGGACAAAAGAAGAACTATACGCCACATATGCTTGAAACTAGCCAAAGGACCAATATAGAACAATGGTCTCTAACAACTACATTCCAGGTGGTTGATCAGTTACTAATATGATTATAGTTATAATTTCTTCGAACCTTTAAGTTAATGCATCTTGTTCGTTTAACACAATTGTTTAACTTTCTCACAAACTGTAGCATTAACAGTAACGCCCAAGTTCGCGAACCACATAAGCTCTAATGGCGCACGGATTGCGCCGAATTGCAGAAAGTAACCATCCTCCAAAGCGGAACAAAGCAACAGGGAAGATAACTTTCCTGATACCCAAGCATGAAGAAGATGAAGACGAAACCCTGATCAGCTTCTTCATCTTCTTCAGTTTTAAGCAAGATCCATCAAAATCAAAAGCCGTAATGCACTAAGCAGAGAGCATGAAATCAATACATGGAGACAAAGAATGGATCAGTTACCTTATAGAGACTGTTCAAGCACTTGGAGCACCCACCAAGACCTGGCAATTTATCGACATTGGAGCTACTACTCAAGCAATTGCTCTCTAGCATTTTCACACTCTCATCCTCAACAACTTTCCCATCCTGGTCCACAGAAAACGCCTCAGGGCAGCTCAAGGGGTGAAGCCTTATACCACAGTAGCAATAAACCACATCACAAGTCTCATTGGGCTGAACGAGATCAATCCCCTTCACTTTCAAGGCCTTCCCCAAGTCACTCACACAAGTCTCCGAATCATCCGGCAGCAACGGCATATCATACGACGTCGCATGCACATTACGACCCTTCGATGTTTTACCCATCCCAGCGACCCTGCCGAGCGCGGTGGCGGAGTAGGCGGAGTAAAGCCACGCCGCCAGCACCGGGCAACACCGGCTACGGTGGAGCTCCCCGTCTGAGTCGTGCTTGTTAACGCCACACGCGCTCTTCACCCCTTGGAAAAACTCATCGGAGAGCTCCAGAGGGCAACCAACAGCATCGGATTGCTCTGGAACTGCAGGGATGGTGGCCGGTGGAGAAGGGTGCAAGGAAATGGACTGAACCGTTGCAGCATCCGGGTCGGTTATAGCCAGAGTGAGAGTGAAGAAGAAGGAGATGAGAAGGGTAGTGAAGAAAGGGGGAAATGGAGGGAAGGACATTGAGATGAGAAAATGCAATGGTGGTTCAGGGAGCAGGAAAAGGAAGAAGGAATGATGAAGTGATGGGGATGATGAGAGAAGAGGGAAGGCAGAGAGAATAAAATAAAAAGAAGATGGTGGGGTTATGCAAAGTTTGGCAGCATG